TCCACGCACCCCTATGTGGTGCATCTCTTAAATCTCCCCTTTTATGGCTGCTAGGTTTTGTGTCAGGATTAGGCCATTGTAGTGAAATGCTTTTGAAAGTACCTGGTGAAGCCATGGAAGCCAGTGTAGACTAGAATATGAATGGACTCAGTGAAACTCTCAAGGATCACTATGGTACATTTAAGAAAAAGTCTTTAAAGTGATCTAGACTGAATATGAAGGCCGCAGGTAAAATTTCCCAAGTATTTTCACCAAAGACCTATGATCCCAAAACACCTGGTTCTAACTAACCTTTCTGTTACTTGACGATGACATTTGAGAATAAAGACCAAGAGTTAAGGAAACACTGAGTTATTCACAGTCTCTGATAGGCTGGCTGTAGTGTTCATTCATCTTTTGGTTTTGTCAAGAAAGCAAATGGGGGAATACAAGTTATAATATTGGGCTAATTTTTAACCTGCTTTAAATTTTTAAGCTTTTTTTTTTTAAGATTTTATTTATTTATTTGACAGACAGAGATCACAAGTAGGCAGAAAGACAGGCAGAGAGAGAGAAGAAAGCAAGCTCCCTGCTGAGCAGAGAGCCCGATGTGGGGCTCGATCCCAGGACCCTGGGATCATGACCTGAGCCGAAGGCAGAGGCTTTAACCTTAACACTGAGCCACCCAGGTGCCCCTAAAATTTAAAGCTTTTAACTTTAAAAACTTTAACCTGCTTTTAATGAACTTTAAATTTATTTAAAGAATAAATTATTTTTGATAGACCTTATTATTGAATATGAATGATGCTATTGTGTCAAAAAGCAGCACCCCAAAATGGTAAAGCAGTGTTGCTGCCTGGGGACTTCTGTAGCTTTTCTTTCTTTCTTTCTTTTTTTTTAAGATTTTATTTATTTATTTGACAGATGAGATCACAAGTAGGCAGAGAGGCAGGCAGAGAGAGAAGGGGAAGCAGGCTCCCCGCTGAGCAGAGATCCTGATGTGGGGCTCGATCCCAGGACCCTGAGCCAAAGGCAGAGGCTTTAACCCACTGAGCTACCCAGGTGCCCCTTCTATAGCTTTTCTGTCCTATCTGCCTGTTGGAGGCCTGAGTGCTCGCTCTCTACCAAGCTTATTAACTCTTAGGACTCCAACATCCAGCTTACCACTGGTCACTGGCTCTGTTTTTTAAATAACTTTTTGTTTCAATATGCTGTCTTGGATAAAATTTGACCTTTATTCGAGGTGTAGAAATTGTACATGCCAGATATTTATTTCTGATTTGGTAGACTGACATGCATATAAAATTCTCTATCCAAAAGTAATGTGTTAACAAAATTAATTGTCCTCAGGGATGTTGAGAATAAAAGAGTCAATAATGTCCAACAAATGTCTAAGAAGCCTTAAGATTTGACTTGAGGGACCATTAAGGGGATATATTAGGCTAAGTTATTTGAAAAGTGTTTTATTATAAATCAAAATATGGTCACTTCTGAAATTGAATTCTTTGAAAACGGCCTACCTTTTCTGTTGAGCAAAGCTAAAATGAGGCGATAATAGTGACCCCACGAACTACTTTAAAATCACTAGTCCATACCTGGGGTCCTTTCATAGAACAGTTAAATTCTCTTTTAAGAGTTTCATCATACATCTTTATTGACTTACACTGAGCTATAAATCTGACTTAAAATCCTCATTCTGAGGAAACTTCAATTTGGAAATAAACAGCATTTGGGAAGTTCCATTAAGTTTAGATCTATAATTATGAGTATGAAAGTACCCTTTTTTTATTTAAGGAAAATTTTTTTTAGATTTTATTTTTCCTTAGTAATCTCTCCACCCAATGTAGGGTGCAAATTTGTACCCCTGAAATCAAGGGATGCGTGCCCCACCGACTGGACCAGCCAGGTGCCCCTAAGTAGACCTAATTTCAGAGTAGTTTTAGGTATACAAAAATATTGGAAAAGTAGATTTCCTATATGTAGCTCATCTAGTTTCACCTCTTACATTGCTACAGTGTATTTGTCACAACTAATGTTAGTACGTTACCATGAACTAAATTCTACACTTTTTAGATTTTATTGGCTTTTGCCTCCTGTCTGTCTTGTTCCAGGATACCACATTACATTTAATCATCATGTCTCTGTAACCTCTGACCTTGTTTCTGACGACCTCGACAATTTTAAGGAGTACTGACTGGTCAGGTATTTTGTAGAATGTCTTTCAGTGGAGTTTTCTGAGGTTTTTCTCATGGTTACAGTGGGGTTATAGGATTTGGTGAGGAAGAACACCAGGGTCCCATTTTCATTCATCTTATTAAAGATGCATGTTTTCAGCGTGACTCCATCACTGACATCAATTTTGATCACCTGACCAAGATAGGGTTTGCTGGGTGACTATAAATTTCCTTTTTCCTTTTTCTATATTGTAATTTAAAAAAAAAATTGTACTTTCTATATTGTGCAGTTACTAAGCACAGCCCACATTCAAAAGGTGGAAAGTTAAGCTTCATTTTGAAGAAATAGAAAATAGTTTGGGTATTTTCTGTGTAGATTTGCCACTTCTCCCTCACTTACTTAAAATCTTTTGTATTAATAGGAGCTCAGATATTTTGTACTTTGGCTTATAATCCTGTACTACATTATTTCGTTGCTCACAGTTAACAGCTTTGGCCACTGGGAGCTTTTTATTGGCCACTGTATCCCTTCAGTGTCCTTGAACCCTTGGTTTTTATGCTACTTTCTTACTTTCTGGCATTACAAGATGTCCCAGACCTAGCATCAGCCATTTCTTCAAAGAGCCCTGGTTCCTTTTAATGGATAATGGTGTTAGAAACCAAGCTTTAGGGGTGCCTGGGTGGCTCAGTCAGTTAAGCGTCTGCCTTCAGTTCAGGTCATGATCCCAGGGTCCTGGTTTTGAGCCCGGCATGGGCTCCTTGCTCAGTGGGGAGCCTGCTTCTCCATCTCCACCTGCCCGCCACTCCCCTTGCCATGCTGTCAAGTAAAATCTTAAAAAACACAAAAAAAACCAACACCCAAGCTTCAGTCTTTCTTTCTCTTTTCTTTTTCTAAGAGCTTATCTATTTGAAGGAGAGCAAGGGAGAACATGACCAGGGGGGAGGGAGAGGGAGAAGCAGGCTCCCTGCTGAGCAGGGAGCCCGATGAAGGACTGGAGCCCGATGCGGGACTCCATCCCAGGACCCCAGGATCATGACCTGAGCAGAAGGCAGATGTTTAACTGACTGAGCCACCCAGGCGCCCCAAGCTTTAGTTTCTAATGAAAGATTGGCTATCGGGTTGTGCCCACTGCTACCAAGTGTTGGCTTCTAGACCCCCTCAGCAGACAGAACTGTGTGCAAACCCATATTCATCTTCCCCAACTGAATTCCCCCTTCCCTCAAACCCCTGGCAGCAACCATTCTACTGTGTCTGAATTTGGCTGCTCTAGGGACCTCACACAAGTGGGGTCTATCTGTCCTGTGACTGGCTTGTTTCACTTGTAATGTCCTTGGGATTCATCTGTGTAGTAGTATGCATCAGAATTTCCTTCCTTTTTAAGGCTGAATACACCATTGTATGTATTTGCCGCATTGTTTCTTCTTGGTGGACACTTGGGTTGCTTCCCCTTTTGGCTGTTATAAATGCTGCTATGAACATAGTTGTATAAATATGTTTGAGTCCCAGCTTTCACTTTGAGTGTAGTATACCCAGGAGGGGAATTGCTGTATTACCTGGTGATTTTAATTTCTTCAGGAACCGCCATACTGTTCGGCAGTGTCTGCACCCCTGCAACAGCACACAGGAGTTCCAGTTTCTCCACGATTCTGATGAAAGTCCAACCCATGTTTTTTTTGTTATTGTTGTTGCCTGTGCTTTTGGTGTCTTATCCAATAAATTATTGCCAAATCTAATATGAATCTTTTCCTGTTTTTTACCCCCTAGTTCTAGTTCTAGCTCATTTGTTTAGGTATTTGAACAATTTGGAGTTAATATTTGTATATGTTTTAGTAGAGGTCCCACTTTTTTCCCTTGCTTGGGACATCCAATTTTCTCACCCAATTTATTGAAAACACTGTCCTTCAAGCCCCTTCTGGTCTTGGCACCCTTCTCAAAAATCATTAGACCATATATATATAAAGGCTTATTTCTAAGCTCTCCTATTCCATTGGTCTAGGTCTTTAAGCCAGTACCATACTTTTTTTTTAAACCATACCGTTTTGATCACTGTAGCTTTGTACTAAGTTTTGAAGTAAGAAATGAGACCTCCAACTTTGTTCTTTTTCAAGATTGTTTTGGCTATTTGGGTGTCCCCTGGGATTCCATATGAATTTAGCATGGGTACTTTTTTTTTTTTTTAGCATGGGTACTTTTATTTAGGCAAAAAATATTGGGGTTTTTGATAGGATTACATGGGATCTGTAGATGGATTTGAGTAATATTGACATCTTAACAATACCGTCTTCCAATCCATAAACATGGTGTGTCCTCCCGTTTGTTGTGATCTTTAATTTCTTTAGGCAATGTTCTGTAGTCTCTAGTGTACAAATCTTTTGCCTCTTTGTTTATTCCTAAGAATGGTATTCTTGGTGCTACACTGTGAATACTGGAAAGCACAATTTTTAAGGAAGACAGAACTAACATGAAGTCAAGGCATTCATGACTTGGCTCCCTGGCTTTTGTGGACAGTTGCACCAAGAGATCTTTGGAGATTTGTCGGGGGTGGGGGGGAAAGAAAAAGCCTAAATAGCTTTGTGTGTTAAGTCACAATAAAAATCTCAAGTGGCTAATTACTTATTCTTCCTCACATTCCAGGTACCAAGTTGCCTCCTCTTTGCAATTTGATTCAAAACTAATTATAAAATAGCTTTTGCTAATTTGGGATAATTCCCCACATTACCTGTAGCACCTAGAACAGCGCTGAGAACATGCAGATGGCCAAAAATAAGATGATCACACACACACACACACACACACACACACACACGATATTATTCAAAGGGATAAAAACAGTCAACAACCTAGGCTAGAATTATTAGATTTTATTTTTCCCTAGTACTTTTAAAAGCTCAGCTTCACCATGTAACAGGCCAGACTTTTGGAATAACAACTCTTTCCCAGGCTATAACCCTTTTGAGGAGAATTTATCAAGTATGATGGTTCCAGGATGTTTCCACCCCAGAATTCTAAACCGGTTACAGAATCCGTATCTTCTTAGGTCTTAATTGTAATTAATAACCTAGACACATGTAACATAATCAAAATAGCACATACCAAAGTTTTTCTTTCCTTGTAGAAGGCACTTCCCCCAATTTTCCCCAAAGGGTTTGATATGAAGAGATATTTTAAGTATCACACTTTCCAAAAAATCTGTCTACCAACCAGTTCTAATTCTTGGCTCAGAGAAAGGTACCCCTTATTAAAGAAAATAAATATTCTGAGCTAACTGATCTCAGCCATGGACAAATTAAAATTGTTTTACTTTACACCTGACAAACCTTTGCTTTCAATACCTCCTATTTGCAAAACTCAAACCTTATCTTTAAAACACAGTCGTCATTATGACTTGGGAGAGCAGGGAAGGCTTAGGAAGGGAGCTGGCTTCTATTTTGCAGGAGGACATTCTGAAAAGGGCAGATACTTATTTCTGAAGTCATTAAGTGGAGAAATGGCAAATGTTCCTCTTATTCTGATACTGAAAACACTTGTAAGGCCAGGACCTTTCTGGTCCTGAAACTGTAATAAATTACATTGTTTTAAGTACATTCAAAATTTATATTACTCTGTAATTTCTTTTCCCTGAGTTTGGGTTCACAGTTTGGTAGAGATACTTTAAAGAGGTAGTTGGGCGGGGTGAAGAGGAAACCGTTTATGTCTAGCAGCACCTGGGGATAATATAAAACATCTAAATTTTGATCTCAGTTAACATTTATCTTTCCCCCTTGAATCTGCAAATGTAAAAGAAGGAGGCGATCATTTTCCTATTTTTTTTTCTTATCTGTGTGGACCCTCTCTCCTATTATGTTCATGCCAGTACTGTCACTATTTATAAAAATAGTTCTTCCAAAGACATGCTAAAAAATAAAGCCTTCAAAGGTGGGGTTGTTTAAGATTTAGAAGAGAGAGGTTCAGCTGAGTAATTTTTATTCCTACAGTCATTAGGGCAACTGAGCAAACCTTCCAGCACCCCCAACCACTGCCTTTTCTCCCTGGACCCGGTTTATTTAAACCATTCCTATCAATGCTGGAGCTGACTCTAAGTTCTGGGCTCTAGGAGATCCTGACATCTACCATGGGTGGAGACACTGGTCCAGGTCTCGGCTTCCAGTCTTACGATGGGCTGGTGGAATACTGTCTCATCAGATGCTCGTGGCAGGGATTGCAAACTCGCTCAGGCTTGATACTTGAAGGAAGAGGCAGTTCGTTTGTTGAGCAGGCATTACAGAAGGTCCCTGTGCAGTTCTTACACACATTCTGCGAGGAGAAGAGGGAGGTTAGGTGGGGAACAGAAGTGCAGGGCGTACAGATGCATGGGCTATAAAAGGCCACATACGAAAAATGCTCAATGCCTCGTCAAGTATTGACTGAATGTTTGCTAAGTGCCAGATGGTACCTGACCAAGCACAGTCTGTCTACGAAGCAGCTTACCATCTCGCTCTTAGATCTAAATGAGGAGAAGCAGTGCCACAGAATTCCAAAGAAATATAATACACAAATAATGTATCTTTAGAATACTTTCATTCATTACATTCACTTTTAGAGGGGCTAATTCTAAAATCAGTTTGTAAGTATCTAAGAATACTCCAAATGAGGCAGGGAGTGGCCAAGTGCTGGGCCGGGGAGCCAGCCTAGGGTTAATGTTGCTGAGTATGAACCCAAAGTGTACTTCCTGATACACTGATGCACTCAATGCTTTCCTGGAAAGCTCTATAAGCACATCCTTTGGGCTATCAGTGCGGCAGGAGCCCAGCCCCCTGCATCCTCTTTATAGGGAAATCAGTCCCTTTATGAAGCGTTTTGACTCTTTCGTGGTCATGCAATGAGGCAGCACGTGGGTCATTCTGGCAGTGTCACTGGAAAGGCTGTGACAGGGTGGTGCCCACAGAGCTCCAAGGGTCCCTGTATAAGGGCTGTGAAGAGTAATTGGCCCCATTAATAATGCCACTTTCTCCCAAACAATTCACCTTCCTGACAGTGCGGTAGAGGTAGGGGCCACTTTTATTTGAAAGCCTGAGAGGAATTTCCCGCTGACATACTGCGGGTGTCCTGCATGGCTCAGAAAAGCCCGAATTAGATTAGCCGTTTCTTTATTTTGGGAAATATGTCTAGAATTCCAGTTCTAATTCTAGAGAGGCAGGTTCATCTTCATCGGATTCTGCGCATTTGAGACTAGGTCATATTATAATTTTGCTCGCTAAAATTCAGCAAGGTCACAAACGGCGGCATTTGGGCGCAACCCGGAATTTGGGCACATTTCCTTATCTCTTCCAAGCACTTGTTTCTTATAGTCATTTGTCCGTTTTTGAGCATCTACAATGAAACGGGCACCGAATGCCATGCTGGGGGACAGCAGTGTGAGCAGGTCCAAGAGCCACTCACCACCCACGAACGCTTCCTTCCCTCTGCCTCGGGCAGGCACTCTGCCAGAGACCCCGCGGGCCCAAGGGGAAAGCAAGAGGTTTGGTGGCGAGCACGCAGTTCCCTGGCAGAGGCTGATTCTCCAAATAATTCAGAGAATCCCTCCCTCCCCAAACTATCTGATTTGGTCTACGCAGGATGAAGAATCGGAGGAGTATAGATTTGGGGGCCAAAGTCAGGCTGCGGCCGGGCTTTGCCACTTACGACCTGAGGAACTCTGAGAAATGTGCCTAAAATCTCTGAGCCCAAGGTGCTTCGTCCATAAACTGACGACACAAAGGAGACAAGCTTTACGACAGGGACTTGGTCCATGCTGGTTCATTACTCCTCGAGCGCGGGGAAATAGCACATTCCACACAATAGGCACTCAATAAACCTTTAGTTATGTTTATTTTTTAAATTACTTATATTTATTTTAATGGGGATTTACTGACATGACTTACTATGGCTGGAAAAAAAAACAACCCGTATTTTTTCAACAGGTATTTTATAAATGCTTGCATCCTTGTGCTTTTCTCCCCACTCTGTACTCTACACAGCAAAGTCCCTAGTATTGAAAGGCCATCCCTGTGAAGAACCCGTTTGGGCCTCAGCGCTGTTACCTTGGTTCGGCTGCCGTCTTCCCGGCATAGCTGACACATCTGTGGCTTCTCAGAGAGCAGCAGCTGATTCTAAACCACACATTGAGCGAGTTAGTGTCTCTTAGCCCAGAAACAGTAATACTTGCAGAATATTCATTTTTTTTTTAATCACAAAATTAATAGAACCACGCTACAAACTATCTGCAAACCAAAGAAACAAATTACATATGGTTCTAACCCCTTAAAGCAGCTCTGGTAATCCCATCAATATTCTTGGAGCTCTTTTCATTTTTATAAAAAAGTAATGTGATTTTATTTCTAAAAAGAAAATTCAAGGATACAAGTGTAAAGAAGAAAGCTAAAAAAAAAAAAGCCCCATCTCTCTTGTCCTACTGCATCATCAAGAATGGAAGGCAGTAGGCTTTTTTTGTATCTCATGGATGAAGGATGGGCTGGCTGAGTCCTAGCCGCACTTAACCCTCTTTCTCTGCAGGTTGTCATAGCCTGTTTTACTTGCAAAGTATCTCACAACCATTTATATCTGTTTATTTCCAAGTGATCAATAAGTCTTTTTTATGGAAGGAAAAACTAAGGGGAAAAGAGGTACAGTGAGCTCTCTTAGGTCCCACAGTATGGCAAAGAGAATTTCAAGTAAGAAACGAGACCTGCTGTTTACTTAGTAAATTGCTCAGAGCTCTGCGACTTCCGGGCAGGAGACAGTTTCAGGCAAATGCACTTGTTAAGGGTATTGTTACAAGGGTGGGCCCCAGGGGCCTGTGTGCATTCACCGACTTTCCATGCTGCCTGTGTACAGCCAGGGACAGTACAGGTGACTACAGAATTCATTCGAGATGTCTGAGAACGGGAACGGGGGGAGCCATTACCTGCTCATCCACAGGGTGAGACGGCAGCCTACAATGGAAAATTAAAAATAGGAAAAAACACCAACTTATTATATTTCTATGTGAATCATTGCAAAAGCACAGGAAAAGCAGCACCACGGTTCTTTTATGTTGACATAATTGTTAATCTTGACCTCCAAGGAGAGGAAATTTTGGTGGTTAGATCTTATTAGCAAACTCTGATCCTTGACTTAAATTATGGTTCCTGCTTAAAAACAGACTTGGAGTTATATTGTATGCTTTGTTTTTACTACCAAGAAAATAGTTTAGCGTTCATATCCCAGCCTGTAAAACTCCAATGGCCAATGCTATTCATTTTAGTATCTTTTGTTATGATATTATAGAAATCTACCCATTATATGTCCTGTATTAGTTCCCCTCTTCCAAATGTCCTTAAAATGTCAACTTTAGCAAATTAATCAGGGTAAGGGGAATGAATGAGATTGTCACAGGAGTATCCATTCATGCTGAACTATTTCTTCCTGAGACCTAGCTAAGCTCACCCTCCTTTTTCCAATTTGAAACAGAATTTAAGAGGAGAAGCAGTTCTGGGGATAATACACCACAGATCCACAGTGGTTCTAATTCTTTTCCACCGAGGGGCAGTGTGACCACCAGTGTGACCAGGTGTCCAAGCTGTTCCTCAAACTCTAATTCCAAGAAACCTGGCTATGTTTTAGGATTGTTGCTCTGGCCAGGACAGGCTCTGGAAACAGCTATTACGTAGAGCAAAGGACTTCAACAAAGACATGAGAAGCAGAAGCCGCTTAGGTGGGCCATCTTACTTCTCTGTGCTCCCCAATTTTCTCTTCTGGAGAATTACATTTTTAAGGAGATAATGAATGTGAAACACACTATTTAAGCTGCAGGGCACTATATAGGTAGAAGATAGTGTCTTATATTCCCAGGGCTGAAATCAGATGCTGGCTTGTAAGGTCTCCTGATTGTAAATGACTTAGTTCTAGTCTGGAATGGGGCTGATTCTGAAAGGCTCTTTTAAGCCCTCATTAATTTTACAGCCTTTCTAGTTCCTTTCTTTGGCCCATGCTGATCATTTTAAGGTCATTTAAGGTTAGTCCTCAATCAGGCCATGCGCTCTTAGGGAGTAAACGTAAAGCTTTGGAATCATTCTGGCCTTGAAGGTCAAGTACCTGCATAAGGAGTCTTTTTGTTGGAACTGTGTTGATTTATCTTCTCCAGCAGTGACTTGCTCAGGTGACACACTACCTCATTCTTGAGGCATCAAAGCCTGGAGAGGGACAGCTGCCAAAATGTATGCAGTATAGTTCTCTCCAAGCCCCTCTATGGGATCTTTCTCATTACTAACTTTGGCTGCGGCTGCTGTTCTTAGAACAGACTGATTCTGGGAGCAATTTTAGATTCATAGCAAAACTGAGCAGAAAGTCCTGACATTTCCCATATAACCTGCCTGCCCTTCCACCTTCCCCCAACATCAACATTCCACACCAGGGGGGTAAACGATGTGACAACGGATGAACCTACATTAACACATCATAACTAATCAGTCTGCGGGCTTCATTAGGGCTCACTCTTGGTGTTGTACATTCTAGGGGTCTGGACAATTGGAGGACACGTATCTATCATCGCAGTCCCATGTAAGTGTTTTCACAGTCCTAAAAAATCCATCATACCCCCGAGCCCCTGGCAAGCACTGTCTCCATGGTTTTGGCTCTTCCAGAATGTTGTAGAGTTGGACTCCTTCATTTTTTAATGCAGTGGCACTGTGTAATATTTTGTTCTATTTCTACCTGCTAAAATAATTATTAAAAGGCAACTTCCTTGAATAATCTTATGGTTTTCATAGTGAGCAGATCAGATGAAGAGTTAAGAAAAAGGCATCAAGTGAAGCTTTTTGAGACCCTTAAGAGAAAGGACATGAAGAAAATAAGAGGATTTACTGGAAACAGAGCTGCTTTCACATAGCACGTGGGGGAAACAAGCCATACTGGAGTTCATTTACGAACCTAAGAACTGCTATGATTTGTACTTCGTTCTTCTGTGATACCAGTCCAGTAAAGATGAGAAATGATCGCTGAAGTGATCATTTGAATTTGGGGATTAACCGGGGAAGAGTCAGAGGACAGCTTAATCACCTTTCTTCTTGAAATGGACTAAGTGGGCGTGGTTTAGTCTGCGTTCTCTGGTTGATTTATTCATTCCCCCTCAAAATGTCTTTCTGGAGTGTTACTATTACAAGTTGTTGTCTCGTCTGTGCCACTGTATATATCAAACTCTCCCTCTTTGCGCCACCCCAAACTAGCGTTCTATCTTTGTTAGTACTTTATTAACAAACACCTGTGGCTTTCGTCCAGGGCCTCTTTCGGTTTAACATTTTCCTCTTGAATTTTGTGCTTCCCATCCTGCCAAAAGAAAATAGCCCAATTCATGAGTTATTCAGAATGCTCAACAGCGATGGTATTGCAGACATTTCTTCTGTACTGTCTTAGCTTAGGTATATAAAGCTAAGCAGCTTTTTTTGTTAGGGAAGGAATTTAACTTTCAAGATGTTTTCCCTCATTCTTCGCTCTAAGTAGTTTCTTAACGAATATTCTGATAGCGTTTGCCACAAACGGTTTTCAGAGTAGATATTTTCCCTTCTTAACTCTTGAGGTTCAATGAAAATTCAGAATATACTGGATTTATTTACGAAGTGAGCTCAAGGTATCAGTTCCTTCTTAGGGTATGTTAGTTACTTCTGTAAATCTCTATCTGCCTCCACCCTCACTCCCAGCTGAGCTCTGGAAAATTGGGAAAACCGAGCACCGCATGTCTAGCAGACTGTAATCCTCTGGACACTCAGTCAAGCAGCTGCCACGATGTCATGACAACTTACACGGCCCATACAACTCGATGATACGTCTACTCTGAAGGACCAAATGTAAATTCCAAACTGCATTTCTACCAACGCTCGTAAGCCATGCCTGGGCGGTTCTCAGTGACAAATTCTTTGTGGCGCACACAGTGCTGTCTGTCTTGAGCTGCCGTCCATCAGCCTCCAAAAACAGAATGTACGTTCTTAGACCACTCAAGTGTCACGGAAAGGAGCTTAGTGCAATATTTACACTCCTGGAACCCCGACTGCAGGGCAATTTAAGATTGAGAAACTCAAGGGCTCACTGGAAAAGCAGGTAAGATAGGCCAAGCATTTAGGTAAATCTCTGCAAGCCCGGCTAAGGAGATTTTCTGTTTTCGAAACTAAACTAATAAAGATGGCGTGGTGCCAAAAGAAGAGTATTTTGCACACGGTAAAGGAGTAGTAATGAGTACTACATAATACATTTCCATTTACTATTATTTGCTGCGCTCCAGCAAACTAGCATCTCTTTCTCTAAAAATGCTAGATAAGAAGCTTATACATTTGTCCTTTGTTATATATAACATGAACCAAGAAGCTACTTTTCTCCTGTGTTTGTCTTTGACACAAAAGGTATTACATACTATTCTGATTTTATTATTTGAAAAGGTTGGCTCCAATTTCCTGGGTCCCAGAGATGGTCTCATTGAACGTTAGCTCCCTTGCCACTATAGGAGCTGGGGGTCTCTCTCCTAAGGCTGTTGTGTAGAAACTTCTACTGCTGTTCTTTAAACACTCTGTATTATTTTCTTTTCCCCAAGCAACTCTAGTTCCCTCTTGTTTTAATTTTCCCAAGAAAAGTACCTTGAGCATAGTAAAACTGAAATCCTCACGATTCTGAAAAGGCATACAGAAGCAAATCCACATTTAAGACAATAAAGGGAAATTCAGAGTCGGGAAGGATTACTCTAACCTAGTATTAAAGGTATTAGGCAGAAGAAGTCCAAGGAACATGAATTTTTGTTAAGACACCCAAATAATCTTACTTAAAGTGAAATCAAGTTAGAGAGAGTGTCTAGAGGTAGACTGAGAACCAAAGCCTGTGTTCACTCCAGGTCTTGTCTGCATGTACATACTCGAGGCCATAGCATTACGCTTGTGTTGCCAGAGAGAAAACCGTCCAGCTCAACGAGGTAGCCCCCCAAAATTAAGTAAATGACCAAGGGAATAACAAATATTACCATTTTGGGTTGTGGCTTCTGAGGACCCTTTCCTGGGATGCTCCTGTTGTTCTGTAACCTTCTTTCTCTTTCCAGTTTTAGTTCTAACTCAAGCTGGTGCCTGGGATGGGCAGGAGATGAAAAGGATCATAATTTGAATTTCTGCAATCATATTCTCTAAAGAATGCCAAACCCTTTCTTAAAGCTCAGCAATTAAATTTTAATACTTGATTAATAAAAAGTTACCAGATATATATGGACAATCAGGCTTTAAGGTGTTAAAACACAATATAGTAAAACCAGTAACACTAAATACAGACAGTATGTTTACTATTTCTTGGATAATTAAGAATGTACTTTGCGGCGCCTGGGTGGCTCAGTGGGTTAAAGCCTCTGTCTTTGGCTCAGGTCGTGATCCCAGGGTCCTGGGATCGAGCCCTGCATCGGGCTCTCTGCTCAGCAGGGAACCTGCTTCCTCCTCTCTGCCTACTTGTGATCTTTGTCTGTCAAATAAATAAATAAAATCTTTAAAAAAAAAAAATAAGTACTTTAAGGGGTGGCTCAGTCAGTTAAGTGCCTGCCTTTGGCTGAGCTCATGATCTCAGGGTCCTGGGATTGTCCCAGGTGGGGCTCCGTGTCCAGCAGGGAGTCTGCTTCTCCCTCTGCCCCTCCCCCTGCTCATGCTCGCTCTCTCTCTCTCTCTCTCTCTCAAATAAATACATGAAATCTTAAAAAAGGGATGTACTTTAAGATCTCCCAGTGCCTGAGGGTCACCACTCTGAATATCAGTATTTAAGATTAACTCTTAATAAAGAGTTGTAGTCAATTGAATGATGTTTAGTAGGGTTAACTACAATTAAAAGACACTACGTACAGAATTTCAGGAAGAAACAACCTGAAAGTACCAACTCTGTTGTCCCATTTCATCTTAATTAGCTGGTCTCTAATGTTCAATGTCCAGTTCTACTGTCCGCCACTAGTGTCCCTGGCAGCCATGTGCTTTTATATCCAACAACAAAGTTCTCTTTGTTTGAAGTCAGTGGCTTCAGCAAAGAATTGAGTCTCACTGGACAGATAATATGGAAGAGTGGTTAAGGACTTGGGAGTCAGAGAGACAGACTTTTAAAGTGCTGCTACTTACTTGCTGAACTGTGTCAATCTGGACAAACTGAACGCATCTAAGCTTTAATTTCATCTGAGAGGGTGGGTAAGACAGTTCCTACGAACAGGTTGGTGGGAGATGCTGGGACCGGATGCCTGTGCAGTGCTTCATAAAGTTTGCGGCACACAGTAAAAATTTAGGGAATACTATTTTTATCAGTGTTATGTGGGCTATTAATTCTCTGAGTCCTTTCTATTTATCTGGGGCCTTGGGTTCTAGTTTCCTCTTTTTCTGATCGCAAAGCATGTTGACAAAGATACGGGAATGTCGATATATGCGAAGCTTCCTGAATGCTAATTCCAGAGAAAGGACACTGCGAAGACGGAACGGAGAGGGCTGGCTCAGGGGCCCTCCTTCTCTTGCTGCCGGCCTTAGAATTACCCACGACCGCCCTGGGAGCTCCTGGCGCCCTCTCTTCACCGCTGCCTGGTGAGCTGGTCCACTTGCAGCTGCAGACTGTTTATCTTGTCTCCGAAGTCCTGCTTGAAGAGCCGGTTGTCTGCCTCGGCCGACCGGCGGCCCCGCTCAGCCCGACACAATCTGGGTGTGAGCCACATGAACTTGTGATAGAAAACAAAAGCCACGGTGGGGAGGAAGACCAAGTTTACAACACAAAATAAAGCAACCCAAGGAAGAGGCGTGGAGAGAGAGAGGGGGAAGAAAATGCTTTGCAGGACACAGGGGAAGAAATTGGACGAGGGTGGGGAAAAAGATGGAGAAGAAACAAACTCTAAAGAAAGGCCAGATGAAGGTGAACCAGGCAGAGGAAAAGGTGATTTTCCAATTTTTTTTTTATTCTAGTACTACAGTTTACAGCCATTAGATGATAAACAATAAAACATCACTTTTTAGAAAATCCATATCCAAAGCCAACCTCAAGTACACAGTAATTAAAGTCAAACCCACTTCTTTGTTTGGGTTTATTTCCTAACAGGTTTGGTACCTTATATTTCTGCTTTACACACATAACTGGAACTTGCAAATGGGCAACTACCTTCTTACACGTGGAACGAGAACATTTTCCTGGTCCTTTCCCTACACCACAATTTGTATTAAATCACGACATTGTACATGAACCCTTACCTAGGCTTTGAGTTCTTCTCTAAGGAAAAGCCTTTGTCAGAGTTTGGCCATCTCTTTCCTCTTCCATTCCTACCAGGTGGTGTGTGACTAAGTGGACAAAGAACTCAGCACTGGGCCTATATGACATTCCTGATCGCATTCTCTGGAAAATTCTAATGAATGCTTTCTTCTATAAATCCCATAACTTTGCACCTATAAAGAAGTGCGTTCTAAGAGGTGAACCATCCGGGGCTCTATAGAATAGAACTGGAAAGCATACTATCTGTAGTCTTTAAAATGTTTTATTTTAGTGTTGGAACACTCTTCCCAAATGCTCATAGAAAAGGCAACTCATCACCACAAAAGGCTGATGAAGATAAGAAAAGGTGCAAAATTATAAGAACTAAAATAAGTTCAAGAGCACAGTTTATTCCATGAGGTTGGTCATATGCTCTTTGACTTGACTTTGGTTCAAGTCTGTAAGGACCTAGAGAAGCACACATGAAATCTACCTTACTCTCTTAATTCTGGTTTTTCCAAGAAGAAGGTAAAGAGTTTCAAAAGCTGGAAGCAAAGGGGGGTTATCTTTGTTCCCACCTAAGCAGCTGAAATGCTGCAAATCATACCAAAATGAGAAAAAATATTTTTTTTTGTCAAGACTTCTTGAAGGAATGAAAGCTTATGTAAAGCCTGTTCCCCCAAATCAAAAGTCATTAAAAAAAAAATCCAAGTATTTATAGGATTATTTACAATGTAAAGCCTAGAAAGGGGAGTAGATCTGTGGTCACTTAGAAAAAGAAGCCCTGCTAATTACTATGTATGGAGATCTACAGGAAATTTTTATTTTTAGACTAAATAATAATAAAGAGTTTATCATGTATCTATTTCCTACGCTGAAATGGTTTTCTAATAATTAGATTGTTAGTTTCCCAGAGACATTAGCAAATCCCCATCGGAACAGAAAGTAATAGAAACTCTTAAGTAAATGTTTCTAGCAAGAAATGACAGGTGGGAAACCATCACTTATGTTTATACCTTGTTGTCTTTACTCCAAAAGGAAAAGCAGGATAGATCTGAAAATTGTGTAGTGTTGTGTTGTGTTTTGTTTTTATAGGAGACGAGTTTTTTCATTAAAATTATTCTCTCTGAGCTACCTAAATAGGAAGTGGAATTGCAGGAAAATGGCAGAGGTAGAAGATGGCGAATATTAGGAGGGTTTTCCAAGCTTCCACATTATTATGTTATCGTAAGTTACCTAATCACTAACTTTATCTCTACGAACTTTAAAGAAATATAAGGATGCGGGTTTGTTTCCCCCCCACAAAGTCACTAAGGCAAAAAAGTTGCAAGCAATCTTGGTTACGGAGAACAGAACTGTAGTGAAATGCTAAGTACTTATCTGTGGCTTGGGGAGTAAACCTACACAAGGAACGTGGGGAGGGGACGTGGCCTAGGAGACAGAGCTACTTTAGAAGAGTCCAAGTCCGTAGGGCTGTCACCTCCAGTCCATTACATCGCAATGGCAGAGCAGGCTCTCTGGCATGGACAGCGCACCTAGAATCTGGTACTGTCTGAGACTGAGCTGTAAAGGCATCAATAAAAGATGCACAGAGTGTCCATTCCCTAGGCCTTTTTTTTTTTTTAATGGTGTATTTATTGGTCAACTCAACCTTTTTTTTTTAATGGTGTGTTTATTTATTAGTCAACTTTTAAATGGTGTTTATTTATTGGTCAACTCAACCTTTTTTTTTTTTTAATGGTGTGTTTATTTATTGGTCGACTTTTAAATGGTGTTTATTTATTGGTCAACTCAACCTTTTTTTTTTTAATGGTGTGTTTATTGGTCAACAAAGTAATTTCTTGAAGTTTATTTGGCAATTAATTAAGAACTTACACTAAATGTTCTAACTCTAGGGAGAAAATAAAGAAGAAGAAAAAAACCCATGGCCTAGATATCAAATTGTTGTTGTTGTTGTTGTTGTTTTTTAAGTCCAACAAATTCAGAGTTGATTTTTGGTGACATTTTATGTAGAATCAGAGCTTAAATGAAATAACTTTCAGATTTCTTTCTTTACAATTAAGTTGTACATCAGACTTGCGAGGTGACGAAATGCAAAATGCCTAATGATGTTTTGGGATCAGTTTATTTGCTGCACTATTTAAGGTCTTTGCCTGTTTCACCAAATCCTTTTCACTAAATTAGTAAAATAAAAACAAAAATGGAGTGAAAGGGGAATGAGAGAATGAATAAACGGGAAAGACAAAAATAGCAAGAGAATAAGTCAGCTTAATACTTGAAGAACTCATTATTTTAGTTCTGTCTACTTCAAATGCCAAGTCAAAAAACTATTAAAAAATAATTCTATGCAACAGTTCAAAAACCCAATTTATGAACACCAAAATTAATTTGTTAAATCATAAACATATAACTGCTATGAGCAAGCACTTAGAGAACTTTCTGGATAGACTGATACCTTTTTATTTAAAATCAGCCAAATCAGAAGCTTCAAACTTATTTACTGATTTGCAATTAACTTGTGAGTTACCATTAATATTCAGTGCCATTCAGGACCCTTCCTGGTCAAGATTTATCTGAATAAAAGAAGTCATCCACTCATCTGTTCATTCATGCATCTGCTAAATGAATTCCTTGTGTGTTCATGGCACTAAGACAGATCCAATGAGGGAACTTAAAAAATTCATTAAGTAACCTGGAGGAATTCACACTCTCATCAGATGATACATATATAAAGGGCTGGAACGTGAAGCAGAAGGTGACAAGGAAGCATTAAGGACAGGTGTGGATGTAAGGCTATGGGAATTCCAATAAGGACAAATGGGTAGATTAATCTGAGAAGCATCATCAGAGGAAGCTTAGGAGAGGTGGTGGCTTTGGAGCCTGAAGGTAAAAAAAGGACTGAAGAACAAGGCAGCGAGAAGAGGAAGGGCCTTCCTAACCGGTGGGGCTGTTGGGCAAGGAACAGGTGGGGAAAGTGCAGGCGCGCGCAGGGGCCTGCAGTCAACGCGGCTCAAGTAAAAGAAGGGTCATCAGTGGTATTCGAAGTGGCAACCCACACTGGCCACGCAGAGTGACCATGGGTGCTGTGGCTCCTTCAGTCTTGAAATCTTGGCCATTTCTCTTGGCAGCTGAGTCACCATGAAGAAAACAGGTGGTTTCAGCCAAGGAGAAACAAAAGCGGCACCGGGAGAGGGTGTGTTTTGGGCAGACTGACTTGTAGGTACCTGACGGAAACAGCTGGTCAGAGGATGAAAACCCAAGACTGGGTTTTCAGAGGAGGACAGAGCTGGAGACGGACAGATCTAAGATTGTGGGCAGGGTGACAGTGGACACTGCAGAACCGCTCAGGAGAAAGGGGAGAGAAAAGGGAGATGGGAGGGAGGAGAGAAAGGCGTTCACGTGTTACAAGGGCCCTCGGTATCCCAGCGTCACTAGCACCAGCACGTTCCAAGAATTTGGTGACGCAGAATAAAACAAAAACTGCGAGCATATTTAAAAGTACTTTCAGGGCACCTGCGTGGCTCAGTCAGTTAAAAGTCTGCCTTCAGCTCAGGTCATGATCTCAGGGTCCTGGGATAGAGTCCACATAGGGCTCCTTGCTCAGCAGGGAGCCTACCTCTCCCTCCCCCGCACCCCCCCTCAACTGTGCGTGTCTGACTTTGCTCTCTCTCTCACAAAAATAAATAAAATCTTTAAAAAAAATTTTAAAAAGTGCTTTCATCCTGTGGGCCTCCCTCTTCCAACATGACACCGAAATGGGATCATGTAAGAGGATTACTGTTCTGCTGTTCAAAACAGTCAGGAGGGCCTGAGGTTTCTTAAAAATGTTTTCAGTGACATCTTAGAGAAACACAAAATTTAACTGGCTTTCTACTAGCATGTCTGGCGTTAAGTTGGGAGAATTTCATACACTTTGTCTGCCAAGTGCATAGCATCCTCTTCCCTTCCAGCACGGAAAGCTCAAGATGTTTCACTCAAGAAATAGCACTTTTACCTTTGTTCGAGTTGTTTGATGGTAGCGGCCATCTGATTAGTCTTCTCTTCCAAACGACTGTTTAGTTCACTTTTCTGTTTTACTCCTAAGTCTGAACTCTGTTATGGAAAAGAAATATGAGTGATGTACATAGAACATAAAATCCTGAAATAAATTACACACGGCTTTCTGAACCTAATGGTAAGTGTGAAACAGAGAAACAGAACTGCTCATATATTTGTCTATCAGTTAATTTCCAAATGGGGAAAAAACAAAATGCAACGTTTAAAATCAGTATTGCTATGTGCAGCTTTGTCACAGAAATGAACATTACGAGGCTCATCAGTTTATCATTTCAGTGTAAGAACTAATGGTGTGTTGCTTAGCAAAGTAAGGTGATCGGAAGAAGACAAGTACATGATTTCACTTCCATGTGGAATTTAAGGGAAAAAAAAAAAGGATGAACATAGGGGAAGGGAAGGTAAAATAAAATAAGATGAAACCAGAAAGGGAGACAGACCATGAAAGATACTTAACTCTAGGAAACAAACTGAGGTGGGGGATGAGTAACTGGGTGATGGGCATTAAGGAGGCCACTTGATGGGACGAGCACTGGGTGTTATGTGCAACTGCCGAATCACTGAAGTCTACTGAAATTACTTGTACACCGTATGTTAAAAATTGAATTTAAATAAAGAATGAAAAAAAAAAAAAAGCTAATGGAATATATAGCTCAGTTGACAGGGGAGGCTGGAGTGTAGAGATTATCTTACAGGATAAAAAAGACCTCTTTCCCCACCAGAATCTGAAAAGGAGCTATGGCTTTCCAGAGCAGCACAGGATCCTACGCCGTCTGATCTCTACAGCGGTTTACTGGCCGCCAGCCTCCAAATGCGACGTGAGTCTTCCCTCTTGGACGTCAAGCGTGATTCCAGAGATACCAGAGGGGCAGAGGGAACCCTGGGAGCTTACAGAGCCAGTGAGTGTGTTCTTCTTCTTGGCCCTACCTGCAGCTTGAAGGCAAGTTCATGCTTGAGAGCCCTGAGGTCATCCAGCTGCTGCCGCAGAGACACCAGGGCGTCCTGTTTCTCGCAGACATCCTTCTCCAGCATCTTCATAGCCAACTCCATCTCCTGTCTCATGCTGATCTGGATCTCCAGTTCTTTCTCCACATCCTGCCCCCAAAGGTAAACAAACTGCTTATTTTCTCTTTCCTCAATGAAGGACAAACTATGAAATTCCACAGGAAAAGGTGTAAACTCCAACACTCTCAGGTCTGAATATTCGGGCAAAATAGCTACAAGCTATCATTCAATGCAGAGATATTAACAAAGGAATAATAATTAGGATCATTAAAAAATAGATCATTTATTCGCTAATTTACAAATCCCAAAAACTTGGTAGGCCAGAGACAGTGCTATTTAATATGTCTGAAATACACACATACTTGAGGCACTTCATTACAGCGAGACAACTGATGTCATGTTCTATCACAGAAACGTACATAACGTGCTCCGCTAGCCAGCGCTGAACGAAGCACTTGCAATTCTCTTCAATTTGGATGTTGTTGATGTCGTCAAGAGCCCAAGGAGCCCGAAAGATACTCTGGGTCTCGAGGGTAAACATCTCAGTAAGTGAAAATGATCGATATGGTAACTGAATTTTTATAATCACGTAACATGAACCCCCTTTTTTGGTCCAATCATTATTACTGCAACATGATTTGGAGGATCAAAGTTACAAAGACCTGAATTTCCTTCTCCATCCATTCTCTTCCCTGGGGCGTATCTAGGAACTTGCTTGGTTTCTTTCCTTTCTGAATAAACCAGTATCTTTTTGTGACAAAAGCATGTGGAAAATTTTGTGTCAGATTTTTAAGATACATGTGCCACGTAATTGAGGTGTCCCTCTGTGCACGGTTAGCTTGATTCAATCAGATTGCTTCTGAAATGCTGACATGGGTTATTTCTAGGATCTTCCTCATAGAAAGTGTTCTGAGATCTAATTCATAAACACATAGAAGGAAAGTGATAATTCAAGGATGTTAAAATTATATTCCTGTTTGCTCAGAACATGTGAAATTCTATTCTATACACTGTTACGTGGTCATAATTTTTAGAAACCGAATCACCTTTATTTTCAGCTTCTTCCTACTTTCAGAGACACTGTTGGTGGGGGGAGATCCTTTCGTTTCTCGGATCATCACAACTGCAGGAGGAGTTCATTTACCAATACCTGGGATGTATCAATGTACTAATCCTTGGCTAAAACCTATTACAGGAGTATTATTCACTATTACACATTTATACACACACACATACATCCTCCAAGGAGACATAACAGAATCTTTGCAGGATGAGGACTGGGGTAGGAATGGGGATCACCAAGTTTAAAACAGTAGGTTCCGTATGCGTAATGTTCTCGTAACACAAACTATAAAACTGAAAAAAAAATTGGCAAAATCCCATTGGCTATTGAGAATAGTCATACTCAGAAAGTGGACTGGGAAAGCGTTATAGGGAATATGGGCTAAAAAGAGTGAGAAATATACACCTGAAACTAAGGTAACACTGTGTGAACTATACTTAAAAAAATTTAATTAAAAAAGAAAAGTCACCGAAGCAACTAAAGTATCATTGTTCTCTGTACGGACAATATTCTCTTTAGCAAATATTATGACATGGAAAGGTCCACCCTAAGACTTAGCTAAGAGGGCTTCCTCAATGCCATTTTATTTGAATCAGATAATTAGAAATATTCTACAGGTTTCCTATGTGCAAAATCCACTGTATTCATCAATAAGCAGCAAGCCTTTCCTACAGAAGAAACGGTAATATCTTTGATTAAGAGTGTTGAGCACTACATCTGAAACTAATGATGTACTATATGTTGGCTAATTGAATTAAACTTAAAGAAAAAAAAGAGTGTTTTATGCAAGTAATGTCCAGTGAAGGTAAAAAGCAACCATATGAAAATCTGCCTTTATGTCTAATTATATTTATAATAAATATATTCAAAATTAAAAATAAAAAGGAGTGAGAAACAGTTTTTTAGGATCTACAAAAATTTGTTGGCCCACTACTAATGTTCCTGAGCCTGGTCTGTTACGATCAAACATCTAAGTGGGCCTTTATGTTGAATGGGTTACGAACTACTAGAACACAAGTTAAGTTTACCAGTCGCAATTGTGTCTCTTCCTTTAAATGCTTTCTGGCTTCACTCAGTGCTTGCCCTTCTGCAGTTCTGTCCTGCTTAGGACCCTTGAAAAGATAAACAAAATAGTACATATATTTAAGGATTAAAAAAAATCTATATAGAGTTAGCTGACACTGCTATTTAGTAAGGGAAAATGATTGTATTTTATATTTAACTAAGCAGGTATAACAATGAATAAAGACAACAAAGAAAATGAAGCGGCTTAGTAAATAAAAAATTCTCAAAAGAACTGGGTTTTCTCGTCATTTTGTTTCAAGTCCTAAGATAGGTTATCATATCAGGTGCAAGAAGTCTTAAAAGTCAGCTTCTAAATACAAAGTGGCATTCACTGTAAAATGTGAACTGGGCCAAAGGTTCAAACGGTAATATACTCCTTCTTCAGAGATCTCACACTTGGAGTCTCCAACCACCCAGAGAGATCATAGCTAAAAACAAGTACATCATCAGAAAATTCTGAGCAGTCACAGTTGTTTTCACAATACCCACACATTAAAGTCAAACCCACTATTCACAGAGAACTACTCTAGTCCCCACTCTGAGCCTAGCTGCTTACTCTAGCGGAACAATTTTAATAACCATGGCGATGTGGATTCCTAGATCACAGAAGAACAGAAGCATGCAGATAAAAGGCAGTGGGGAGACACTAATACCAACAGCAATGAGAAGTGAGAGATGTCAGATCATGAAAGCAGAGAAAAAGCACCCAGAGCAATCTGGAAACATTTAAGTACAGGGGCTAGAAGCTCAATCAATTCCAACAGCCCCATAAGTGGTGTCGTTATGACTTAGTATGGAATTGCCGATGTTGGTAATTAGGACTTCCAGTCATCATGAACAGCTAAATGTGTTACATCATGTCCTCTACCTAGGATTGCTTAGGAGTGTGCAGTACCTAAAAGATTTGCAAAAAAATCGGGGCGCCTGGGTGGCTCAGTGGGTTAAAGCCTCTGCCTTCGGCTCAGGTCATGATCCCAGGGTCCTGGGATTGAGCCCCACATCGGGCTCTCTGCTCAGCAGGGAGCCTGCTTCCTCCTTTCTCTCTCTTTGCCTGCCTCTCTGCCTACTTGTGATCTCTGTCTGTCAAATAAATAAATAAAATCTTAAAAAAAAAAAAAAGATTTGCAAAAATATCTGTGTAGACATATATAAAAAGTTTGATACCTTAAGGGATCAAGTTATCTAGAAAACTCATTTACATGGTAACTCCCAGTGGTACTAAATAAACACTTCTTACAAAGTAGTAACAGGGCCTGAAAACAACAGTATATTCAATATAATAAACATAACACTTAAATACAGTACAAATCATGAGTCCATAACAAGACACTGAATTAGACCGGTTCTTGAAATTTCTCAACAGATAGAGACAGAGGTGAAGCCAGGGAGCGTCTGTAGGAAGAACCTCACACCCATGTAAGCTCCATCTTTACGCGATTCTACAGGGAATCTTGGTAAAAACAGTGCAAGTGCTTGATGCTTCCAAACAGTCCTCTAGAGTAGAGCCTCTCCCCCACCCGCCCTGCCACGTTAACACACTTTCTAGGAATATTGTATAAATCCAGTAAGGTTAACCTTCCGATTGGATTCCAGTATGTAGGAGCTTTCCTCTTTAACTCGTTCCATTTCTTCTTGTAAGGTAATAATCCTGTTGTTTGCAACTGCAAGCTGTTGAAAAAAATAAAAAAAAAAAATTTAGGGTAAATAGGATAAAATAATCCATGATCTGCTAGGACATAACTTTCAGGCTTGCGTATTCTTAGAGAAGGAAAGAAGGTTATCTGTAATCGCATAAAAATGTTTATTGTATCGGAAATTAGGAAAAGTATTTTTAAACTAGGTTAGATAAAAATAAAAAGTATCTCCTGGGGAGCCTGGGTGGCTCAGTGGGTCAAGCCACTGCCTTTGGCTCAGGTCATGGTCTCAGGGTCCTGGGATCGAGCCCCGCGCTGGGCTTTCTGCTTGACGGGGAGCCTGCTTCCTCCTCTCTCTCTGCCTGCCTCTCTGCCTACTTGTGATCTCCCTCTCTCTGTCAAATGAATAAATAAAATCTTAAAAAAAAAAAAAAAGTATCTCCTATTGCTGCTTTTTGTGTAAACTCCTTTTCAGTACCAAAATGTTGACTTAAGATTATTTACCTCAAGGGTGTTCTCATGGGTAACTTATACTTAGCTGTAATACCTGTTTCTAAAACGTTTAATGAAGAGGTCACGTCATGCCTTGGGGACTCATAAACCCTATGTAAGACCTTTGATAGATGATTTTTAAGAGTAAAGAAATGGAACTTCAAAGTTCTCACTAAAAGATGCCATTAAGTATCGAAGAGATCTGTCATTTCAGCGCCTGAACAGGTAAGGTAACACTACTAGCAGTGTATGCTCAGGGGGACGTTTATATCTGTACTCTACAGGAGAGGAAAGGAAAGTGCAGACACTTTTTCCTCTTCCACACCTGCTAACCTGGATTCCCCCCAGAGAACACGGGAGAGCCTGGAGGAGAGGAGGAAGGACACTCAGCAGCTCCTCTCAGCCAGGCTAGTCTCCCCTTACATGATCTCCTCACGAGCAGGAAGCACAGGTTCTGCTTGGTTCCCGTTCTAGTGCCTAAGTACAGAGGAGCCAGGGCTCAGGCATGCTCTCCAGAGGGAAGTCTGGAAGCCCATAAAGCCCTCTCTGCTCCACGGGCCTAACAGTGCATAAAAAAGTTAACTTTGGACAAGGGTGCCTGCTTTCTAGATCCAGACACATCCTCAAACGGGTTCTCCCAAGACCTTAACATCAGAGAAAGTATCAGGAAACTATGGCTGTACATCCAAGTAGGTCTTCTAATTCAGCTTTACCAGTAATAAAGTGTGTATTTACATATCTTTACCTGCTTAATTCTTCTCATTTCATCAGACCGGTTCAGAATTCAGGAGAGGAAAAAGGGGTTTTGGTTTTTGTTTTTTACTGGCCCTCTTAAATCCAAAATAGATGGAAATGGGAAAAGGCAGATCTAATTTGTCTTATCGCTTCTTTATAAAGCCTACACACAGGGCTTACCTGTCTCTAAAAATTCAAAGTTTCAAGAAATTAAATGTTACTGGCAAAATAAGTACATAAATGAATTAATTAATATTGGTAATAATAAAATAAATCTAGGTCAGGAGGACAAGTCTTGTGACTGAGGGAATAAAATTAATGACCATGTTTACTGGCCGCTTATGGTAATATCAGGCACTGGCCTGGGTCCTTATGTATCACCATTTAATTCCCACAAAAACTTGACTATTATTTTATCATTCCCATTTTACAGAGAAGATAACCAAGAAATAGAGGCTTAAGTTACTGGCCAGGATCAGAAAGCTAGCAAGTGCCAGAGCTGGGACACGAACGCAGGTAGCCCACCGGCTCCGGAGACCTTGGTTCCCTGCGGTGCCCTATTGCCTCAACAGAGGAGCAAGTGGCCCACAGGACAACATTTCTAATCAGAGTATTTCAAAAGCTTTGTAGGGTAAAATCCTAAGGATCATTTCCATTACTTTTTCTTTTTTTTAATTTAAAGATTTTATTTATTTATTTGACAGAGAGAGAGCGAGAGAGTACAAGCAGGGCCAGCTGCAGAGGCAGAGGGAAAAGCAGGCCTCCGGCTGAGCAGGGAGCCAGATACAGGACGCGATGCCAGTGGGCTGGGATCATGACCTGAACCAAAGGCAGACGTTTCACCGACTGAGCTACCCAGGGGTCCTTCCATTAAGTTTTAACATAATTTAAGAATCTACGTCCAAAAGTGAAGCCCACAGAGCTGAGTAATAGGGAAGGTGTTTTAAAGTTACGACAATGAAAACGTTCTGAAGAAAGCTGTTGAAACAGCATCTTCCTGCTGCTGCCTGAACTTGGTTCTATTTAAACCAAAAGTAAGCCAGGGGATGTAAAAGGATAGTTATAATAAGAAACAGATTAAGATATAGATAAGATAAAGTCTTTGCCACTGGAAATATTTCATTTAAGATTTTTCACAGAGGCGCGCCTGGGTGGCTCAGTGGGTTGGGGCTCTCTGCCTTTGGCTTGGGTTGTGGTCTCGGGGTCCTGGGATCGAGCCCCACGTCCGGCTCTCTGCTCAGCGGGAAGCCTGTTTTCCCCCTCTCTCTCTGCCTGCCTCTCTGCCTACTTGTGCTCTCTGTCAAGTAAATAAATTAAAAAAAAAAAAAAAGATTTTTCATAGAAACATCTAATGTTATAAAAGGAAAAAAATGTAGTTTAGCCACTGACAAGTTAAAAAATTTCTTTACTAATCAGAATCAAAGCACAAGGTTAATTTTTATTCTTAATTTGGGGACTTTTCTAAGGGTTTTCCTGTCTATATTCTGTGATCTTCAGAGTAACCATGAGGCTGAAAGGAAAAGTGTAAACACCTCATCTGCCGGGCAGGCAACCAGGCCTCTCGGAGGTCAAGCGACTGACTCCCGTGCGTGGCTCGTAAGCAGCATGACACGCAAGCAGGGATTGCCGGCCTTCCGACCAGCGCTCTGTAGGTTATCGACCCTCCCACCCCAAGGAGAAAATAAGGCCCATGAGGGTGGGAGCTTGCCAGTCTGGCACACGCCAATCAGTGCACCCAGAAATCACTGTGTAGCTCTCGCACAGAAGCAGTACCCAAATGTCTGCTCAATGAGCAAAGGATGAGTATCAAGCTACAAGAGCTTCCACTACTGCACATGAGTAAACTGTATGTCGGTCAAAGCATTTCCAAAACACTCACCTCCTCTGTCAGTTTAGTGTTGGATTTTTCTAGCGCATCCACTTTTGCCTGAAGATTGTTTACCGTAGCACTGTAAAGAGGAGAAAAACAGAACCATTTCTCCTGAAAAACAGAACATCCTGCCCTACCCGGGTACACATGCATCACAGGTATCACCCCATCGCCTAATGTCCACAACTCACGGTGGACTTGCAGGCTCTAAGACAGTCCCAAGGGGCTGTGGATCGTACCTGCTGTACCCTTGGCACTGAGCTCTGCACTAAAGCACTTGCTGGATGAAACAAAAGAGCTGATCCAGGGCACTCTCAGCTTTAAAGTTTACGTACATATAATGACAAGCTACCTGAATCAAGGGCTTGCCATGCACCAAGCACTTTCCTAAATGTTTTTATTTGCATTATTCATTTACTCCTTTCAACAACCCTATGCAACAGGTATCCCTAAATATAGATAAAGAAACTGAGGCATGAAAAGAGTAACTCACATTTTTTAATTCACTATCAAATGTGTATTTTTGCTTGACCAACTTCTCCGTAATTCACTGTACTCATTATTAGTTCTTGGTCCCCAGAGAAAATATACTTAAATTGTTCTTGAATTTTCTAGTTGAAATCAAGACTACTCAATATTTATATTGATACTGGTATAATCATGCTATAGGTTTTACTTAAATTACCTTTGTAAGAGAATTATTAAAAATAGTTAATGGGTATATTAATTTTTCTGAATTATTTGACAGTCTTTAGCATAACAAGAACACCAATATACTTGAAAATATCAACAGACTGTTTCATGTTCTGGACAGTTCTGAAAAATAGTGAGTATTTGGTAAATTAATGCTAGTGATAGTAAAGGGAGGGTAAGTTAATACCATCAATTCAATGTATAAATGAAAAACGCAAGGGACCAACATGATACAACTACTCTAAAGGAACTAAGTGGTTTGCTCAAGCTCAATCTGGAAATATGTGGTTGGATCTACTGAACTGAGGATGTTTGTCACATGTTTAAGAATTCTTAACATAATTCATAATTTGAACATAATTATTTAATCACTAGAGTTATAATTACATATTAATCTTATACTGCCTTTCACTAGAGGTCACCAAAACAGTTAAACGACATTTAATTTAGTGCCTAGCTTAGTGCCCAGCAAGCAGGAAGTCCGTATTTTTGTTGAGTATCGCCTGAATTGATCCTCATGGCTTATCAGTTTACTGTTTACTCTTCCTTTCCTTCACAACAGAATCCCCAGGAAAGTAGAAGTATTAACTCATTCTTTACTTTAGGTGTCTGTTGAGTTCTTCTACATAGTTCTTCTGATCCAGAATTGCAGTAATCTGGCCATCTCTGGGTGGGAGGGGAGCGTGTGGGGAGGGGAATAGAAATAAAATAAATAACATTAGAAGTACCAAAATCCCCCTCCCCCAGTCTTTTCATATAACACAGAAAGAAAACCATAGTACAGACACACTGAACCAAAAGACAAGCCTGATGTATAACGCCTCCAAAAAGACTCAGATACTTAAAAATGAAACAAAAAATTCCCCACATTAAAAGGCCTTTATTGCAGCTTATATACCTTAATAATTTCGGTTATAGGTATGACATTACATTCTATACATTCTATCAGAGGCATTTAAAAAATAAAAATTTTCTTCTCATAATTGATAGCTTTTTTTTTCTGTCTCTCTTTTTTTTTAGTTTGTGTGTGTAGTTTTTAAATAATTTAAAATTATTTGCTTTCCGCTTCCTGGTCTCAGAGTCAGGTTTGAGACTGAGGGACATAAACCTCAATACTGTCCGCACTCTCCCTGGATGAGTTCTGCCTCACGGAAGCTGCCCGCTGGGCTACCAGGAGTCTCTTGTGGGCCTCCTGGTGCTGCTTGTCCCTGATGCTGGAGGCCTTGTTGTGGCTCCCTGCTGGTCTGGATTTAGCTAAAGTTTTGCCAGTACTCCTTATAACAACAATTTTCCATTTGTCACAGGAATTAAATTAAGCTGATTTTGGCATAATAATTGTGATTCCCAAAGGCCACATCTTTGCCTTTCAATGTTGATTTTATTTCAAAGTGAATGGTATAAAAGGCTTTCACAAAGATCAAGTGTTTAATGTTACATGAGAAAATAAAGAGTGGAAACAGGAATTTCACTTCTGGAACCAACTAATTTGTAACAGCCAAGTTAGAAAGCCAGACTTTTCAATTAAAGTGAAATCAAGGCCACATACCTCTAGTACTAAAAGAAAAAACAATGTAGTCTTGGCTCAATGTCCAAAGTTAAGAATGTCCGATTAATGGTGCTTTCAACTGCTAAATTTATAAAGAGTATTAGGCAGTACACTTCTGATGTCTAATTTCTAAGGACCATATGGATATTTCAAAAACTTTTTTGAAATAATTTTAGATTTGTTACAAGAGTTGAAACAGTAGTGCAGGTCCCCATATACTCCTCACTCTGCTACCCGGAATGTCAACGTTTCATATAAGTCCATAATACATGTTTCTTATTTCACGTTTTAACAAAACCGAGAGGGCAATCCTCCTGATCAAGAAGACTATGTTTTCAAATACTACTTCAAGAGATGGAACACTGAATTCCTTTATAAACCCCTTTATTTTATTAGCCCCTGAACCACACAGTAGGAAAATCACTTCACTAAAACCTCTTCTAGGGTTTAGCAGGCACAAGAGTCAGCTCTTTTTGACAAGACTATGAAAACTATATCATCAGAAATTCTTTCAGCAAATCTGTTAAAGCACTATTGTTGTAAACTTTAAATGCTATCAAAGAACATTAAAGAAAAAAGAAACTCAATTGTCTCTGTACGTACCCTTCACTACCTTTACTGCTGTTCCCATCCTTGAGATACATTGAAAAATCTATAACTCCAACCTACAGAGAGAATTTTCAGAATTTAATATAAAATTAGATACTTTTTTGAAGACATAATATAATATCTCTTCCTGGGCATTCAAAACAGCAATAAAGTCATGGCCATTATTTGAAATTTTTGATGAAAATGGGGTGCCTGGGTGGCTCAGCCCATTAAGCATCTGCTTTCGGCTTGGGTCATGATCCCAGGGTCCTGGGATCGAGTCCCACATCGGGCTCCCTGCTCCATGGGGGAGATGGCTTCACCCTCTGCCTCTCTCTCTGTCATGAATTAACTGAATTAAAAAAAAAATTTTTTTGATGAAAATGTAATGTTTTACTTTTGTTATATCAAGAACTTGAGAATAGGTGAAAGTAAGTAAAGAATCGAGATTAAGGCAACAGGACCAGAAGACCAGGTCGTGCAAGTCAACAGAAGGCTCTAAGAAAGTCAACAGAAAGCTTACTATAAATTTAAGGCTTAAAGTTTCTTTCTCTTTGGTTTCTCTCAAGTATTCTGCTACTGAATCCCTATTCACTTTTAGGAATAATGTTTTAAAAATTCTAATTACAAACAGAATGCATATTTCCTTAAAGAAGTTTCAGAAAATGCAGGTAAGTAAAAGGAAGTAATACAAAATACCCATAGTCCCAACCACCGAGAGGACCACTATAATATTTTGGTATTTCTTCTTCCAAACTTTCATTGATGCAATATGTCTAAATTTTTCAGGACTGCTATTATTCAGCTTATTTCTCTTTTAAAATTGAGGTCAAAATATCCTACTTCCTTTTCCATTTTCTCAGAGTATAAAGTAACAGAAATTTGCTGTAGTATTTCAGAGAAGGGGTGAGAAAGAGTCATAGTGAAAGTGATAGCTTTATTTATTGAGCAATTCATATGTGCCAGGCTCTGTACGAGGTGCATCACATGTAATAATTCTTTCATTCCTCACTATAACACTATGAAATAGAAACAGATAATTCTTTTTTTCTCCCTGTATTACAGCTAAGAAGCGTGACACATCAAGAAACTAACTACAAAATTTATTCAGCTAAAAAATAAAGCAGCAGAATCTGAACCTAAACAGTTTAGTTTTAGTCTGTATTCGTAACTGCCACGCCTGTGTATGTATTTTATTTTATTTTTTTTAAAAGATTTTATTTATTTATTTGACAGACAGAGATCACAAGTAGGCAGAAAGACAGGCAGAGAGAGAGGAAGGGAAGCAGGCTCCCTGCTGAGCAGAGAGCCCGATGTGGGACTTGATCCCAGGACCCTGAGATCATGACCTGAGCCGAAGGCAGCGGCTTAACCCATTGAGCCACCCAGGCGCCCCCTGTGTATGTATTTTAGCCTGTGTCTCTCTGTGTGTATTTTAGTCTGTAAGAAATATTTTATTATTTTAAAATATTTTAATTATTTATTTGACAGAGAGAGAGAGAGAGACAGCGAGAGAGGGAACACAGCAGGGGCAGAGAGAGAGGGAGAAGCAGGCTCCCCACTGAGCAGGGAGCCTGATGCGGTGCTCGATCCCAGGACCCTGAGATCATGACCTGGGCCGAAGGGAGACGCTTAACGACAGAGCCACCTGGGAGCCCCAGTCTGTACAAAATATTTTAGACAGGGATTACAATCAAGACAAGAATGTGAAAAACATTCATAATACATAAATGAGTCAAGTTAGAAGGAAAAGTAAGTTGCTTATATTCACATCAAAAATGTAAAAATCCGATTTATGACTCACAGAATTTCCGTTAATTTGGTTGGTATAATCTGATCCAGCCAAATTCTGAGATAACAGAGCTCAGAGACACGCTTGGTGACTGAGCCTCTTTTGCATACCTGAGAGTCCAAGTCTTCTCCTTTCATGCAGAAATTGGCATCAATGACATTCAGACCCACCAAGAGACCAGCAATTATGGCTCCTTCTTCTTCCATCATTAGGGCATTGGGTTCGTAGAATTCACTGTAAGTGAAATCCACACAATACCAATAATAAAACCTCAAGAATCCGATGATGTAATCTTGAGACGAGCAGTAAATGCTGGCCTCACGGTTGAATATGGGTACCAAAATAATAGCAAAAAACTTAAAAAAAAAAACCAAAGACAGATGGCTTGGATAGTTTATTTTAGACAATACGTGCATGAATGGACTCTAGATATTAGTCCAGCTGAAAGAAAAGTGGTGAGAATGATACTTTCATTGAAGTGACTGTTTATGCTTTTCCCATATATTTATTTGCATTTGAGATGCAAGGGACAATTTTTCAATCTTAAAGCATCTTTAAAAAATTGGTTTTTCAAAATTTGCCTCAGAGATCTGGTTTATTTGTAAGTGGAGGTATAGTGTTACCACACTGCCATTCTAATTTGCATTTACATGATAGCTAGTGAACTTACGTATCTTCATATATATATGTGTATGTATATATGTACATGTACATATATATTTTAAGATTTATTTATTTGAGAGGGAGAGAGAAAGAGAACATGCACTTATGAGTGAAGAGAGGGGCAGAGGGAGGGGGAGAGAAATCCTCAAGCAGACCGCCTGCTGAGCGTGGAGGCTGAGGCAGGGCTCCATCCCACAACGCTGAGATCATGACCTCAGCCGAAACCTTCAGGCAACTTAACCGACTGAGCCACCCATGAACCCGATACGTATTTATAAAGTAAGCTCTACACCCAATGTGGGACTGAACTCAGGATGGCGAGATCAAGAGTCGCATGCTCCACTGACTGAGGCAGCCACGACCCCTTCCCCGCTTTTTTCTGTTTGCTAGCCATTTTGATTTTCTCTTGTGAAATGCTTATTCAAACCCTTTACTCATTTTAACATTTATTTGGCTCTCTTTTTCTTACTGGATTAAAGAAGTTCTTCGCATACCCTGAATATGCATCATTTGTTGAAGATATATATTACAAATAGCATCTTTCACTCTACGAGTTGCCTTTTAACCTTGTGTCTTTTGATAAATGAAGTTCTTCATTTTAATGTAGACAAATGTATCAATTTTTTTCCTTTAGGAGTAGAGCTTTTTATGTCTTATTTAAGAAAATTGTGTCTACCTTATATTTTCTTCTAAAAGTTTTACTGTTTTCCCTTTCCTGTTTGTATCTATAATCCATCTGGAAATCTTTTCGTGTATGCTGTTTCTAAATTTCATGTTACATGTCAGTTTCCTGGCTTACTGAGCCTGGGTACATGCCAAGACGTCAAAAGCTTTTCTTGTTTTTGGGGGGGTTATCACATTTTGGACTGCCCTGTATATGTGCCACAGTGACAGACTGAACATATGTACCAAATAAGTACCTGTTCTTGAGTGTGTATGTGTGAGGTGTGGGAGAAGGTATTAGTCGAGCTACATGAAATTGCCACGATATCAACTGTTTTTGATCTGTGAAAATGGCAAATTTCTATGATTCGACCTCATACGATATAGAACACAGCAAGAAAAGAACAAAGTTTAACAAGATGTTCATACCTGAGAAGTTCCTTCTTATTGATCAAAGCTTTCATATATTCTGAGAGCTTCTTTTGCATTAATGCCAAACGAAGCCAGGCTCTTCCTCTGCCTACTGGTGTCCTACAGAAACACAGGAACCGAACAACTCAAAGTAGCAGAGCTGGGGCCACGGTGGGAGAGATTCCCGTCCTCTCGCTCATAGTCCTCAGTAGAACATGCACACTGAGGTGCTCCCTACGATCTCCTCCACCTCATTTCTACGTGAGGAATTCTGCGTGGAGTGAATGGTGCAATGAAGGGGCTCGTGGGTCTGGGGGTGTGTGTTTGGAACAAGTGCTCTTGTGAAGAATTAGTTACTGAATGAGACTATGATCTGAAGACAGATACTCTGGGAGGCCCAAGTGAAAATGTTCCATCACATTAGCATTCGTAAATCCTCAGAGACTTAGCGTGGATCATGTAAGTACCCACATACTAGTAATGTGGACACAGTCCACGTAGGCCGCTATCTAATAAAAGTTAGACCAGTCTAACTTAGTAAGACGGTTACTACTCTTTTTCAAGTTCTGAGGTAGGTTCCCAGTGTCTGTAGCTGAGGTTCACTTCACAACTGTTTTGATCTTGGCTCTCAAACATTCTTTCTCTTAGTCATGTCTAGCATGCTCCCTCTTTAGATCTAATTTCTTGAGACTCGAACTGATGATTCCCACAAGTGCTTTAAGAGGATAAGAAAACGTTTGGTCTTTTAACATGAATACAACCTCTTTAAAATTAATAATAATTATCCCTCACAGGCACACTTCTCTTCATATTCGATATGAGCAGCTCTCTCACAATAGTTCTGATGCATAAATAGAGTTTTCTTTTTGGATTGTTATGAAATAAATTATTATGATCATCATTATCTTTAGTCTTCAAGGAGATAGTTAATAAGAATGTTTTCCTAACAGAATTCAACCTTAAACTTACTTAAGTCCTGGAAGATCTTTAACACTTGCTGTTATCTCTGCAGCTTCTGGAACAAGCTTTTCTACCAATTCTAGAGGCCCCCAGAAGGATTTATTTTGTCCAAGAAAGGTTTTCTTAGCTAAGGTGATAAAAACAAAGCAGTATTTTAATATTCTTTGCAACATAAACATGCTCTCAACACACAAACATGTACACACACTTCTCTCTCAACCGTTCAATCCTTTTTCTCAGGGAACTAGTCCTAGATTATTAGACAGTTCTAAAACTATTCATGCTTTCAGAACAGGTAACGTTTTGTGATGATTAAAAACCTTCCACTTCCCAAGACTCAGTCCTTTCTCTTTCAGGAAGAACTTATAACTAACTCGATATAATAAAACATTTTATAGTACTTAAAGCTGCATGGTATTAGTGAGGAAAACAGTCCAATGGAAAAGAATACATAGTCCAGAAACAGGCTGTTAGATACTGGGGAAGGAGCAGGAAAGAAAGCAAGGAGAACAAGATCAGGTCCTGTCCTCAAACCTTATGGTTAAGTGGAAGAGCACAAAAGCAAGAGTCCACTGTGTGACCTTGGGCAAGTTAGCGCTCATTCTAGGCCTCTTTCCACCTGTCAAACAGAAGGGCCATACTGGACTAGTAATGTCTGTTTCAGCTCTAGAATTTAGAGATCAGTGTTTCATAAGCCCTGTGTGCTCTTTAATTCGACCACATCCCTGTGCCCATCCAGGGGGCATTCTAGTAGGTTAGTATTACTAATTCAAGCCTCTTATTCTTGGGCTCCATAAAGACCGCTTTTCTTCTTCGGAATGTGCTGCCTGAATATAGCTGTGCGCACATCTGCATCCCGGGGCCATGGCCTACCCTTCAGGCCGTGTTTCAGGCAGTGCTCCATCACCACGAAGAACTGCTGGAGGGGAGCGTAGTCGGAGTCCAGAGTTCTCCCCAGGTTCAGAGCGGATTCAATCAAGCCCTTGATACTCAGCTTGGCCATGTTCATCAGGTTCATGCGTTCGTTAGCCATGAGATAATTAGGATCTACAGCCAAAGAGAGAGAGGACGGACCATGGTTACTGCAAACAGCACATTTAAAAATTCAGCATGTCCCTGTGTTGACATGAGCATCGAAGGTACAAGAGCAACGCTCGGTGGGGCTGCTGGTATCTTACTAAGAATGAAGACAGTGGCACCAAACTATATTGTTCGGTTTATATTCTCTGCCAAGTTCTACTTGCTGCTAAAAAGAAAGATGCCATGGGGCGCCTGGGTGGCCCAGTGGGTTAAAGCCTCTGCCTTCGGCTCAGGTCATGATCCCAGGGTCCTGGGATCGAGCCCTGCATCAGGCTCTCTGCTTGGTGGGGAGCCTGCTTCCCGTCCTCTCTCTCTGCCTGCCTCTCTGCCTACTTTGACCTCTGTCTGTCAAATAAATAAACAAAATCTTGAAAAGAAAAAAAAAGAAAGATGCCAGTTTCCCTCAGGAATATTCTTTTTTTTTTTTTTTTTAAGATTTTATTTATTCATTTGACAGAGAGAGAGACACACAGAGAGAGAGGGAACACAATCGGGGCAGAGAGAGAGGGAGAAGCAGGCTCCCCACTGAGCAGGGAGCCCGATGCGGGGCTTGATCCCAGGACCTGGGATCATGACCTGAGCCGAAGGTGGATGCTTAACAAACTGAGTTACCCAGGCGCCCCCCCTTAGGAATATTCTTGATGCAACAGTGAAATTACTTATTTTATCCAATTTCAGGTCTTCAGCACAGTCTTAATACTCTCACCACCAGCCCTGCCATTACCCTAACTCAGGTGCCCATCACAGCCCACTACTGCACAGCCTTCCCACCAGTCTCCATGATGCCACCCTGGCCCTGCCCCCTCTTTCTCCACAGTCTGTCAAGCGCTCTAAAAATTACAGCCAACGTAGGAAAAAAAAGTACTTAGACTTTGTTCCAAATACACTATATACATTATTAGTATTATTACTTATGCTAATTACATTATTATTTAAACTAAGCGTTACTAAATAAACTAATTAACAGTATTAGCTCCCCCAGTTTTGAGACTCAGCATACAGTGTGATAAGCTACTTGAGGAAAGGGACTAAGCACCACATTTTATCTGACAGAACTCAGAACAATCCAGGCACTCACAACTCCCACTTGCTGGTGCCTACCCTGTGCCAGGTACTGTGGGTTGCTCCCGGCGGTTATGATTTCAATCCCTCCTTACACCAGGCCGTGAGACAGTGACCGAGAGCGCCAACATACTCATGTAGCTTAAGAGTGTAAAGCTGGGCCCTGAGCCCAGCCACCAAGAGACAACAAAGCCAGAGTCTAAACCAGGGCTCTCTGCCTCCGACACCTATGCTCTGGGCCATTAGAATCTACTTACAAATGAACCAGTGACTCCAACGGATATTTATCCTTCTCTCTGCTGGCCATTCTTTTACAGGACTATCTTACTTAATTCTTGTGACTTCATCATTAAATATCGTCCCTTCTTTTAGAGGTAAAGCAGGCCCACAGAGTTAACAGATTGAAGGCCAAACAGTTCATAAATGGCAATTTGGATCTAGATCTGACACGAAAGTTAATGGATCCTCTTAAAGGTCAAATGTATCATATTTTTAAAAACTAGAAAAGGCCCAGACATCCATGAACTATTTTACCACTTCCCTGGTTGACAAAAAATACTAATAAAATCCATGTACCCATAACACAAAAAAGCTACAACATAAAACAGATTATTTCATTCAACTTGTTCCTAATTTTCTTCATGAAAAGTTTTCAATTGTATCTGCTTTCATGGTTGAATAAGCAGAATCAAATGCCAAATTCTAAGCTACTTTTCATTAAGTTTATGGACTTGCAGATTTATAATCCCAACTATTTAAATCTTGGTTTGTTGTGTTCTCTGAGATATTTTCAGAGAAACGCTTCATTAAGAAGTCAGAAGTGGTATATGTTGTCATTGATTCTTTCTTGCACAACAAATGTTTTAAGGCCGTGCCTCAAATGTGGCTCTTCGCTCGGGGCAGGTCAACTTGTCAAGACCAGAACAAATTTACAAGGTGACAATGAAATACACAATAATCTAACCCCCTAAAAAACGGCTTTATCAGATACTAATTTTCAACTTTGTTACTGGCATTTCTGTGCACTCCAGTGTTTCTAAGACATACTTTCTGTAAAGAGAGAGAAATTGCAAGCAAGCAGGAGGAGGGTCAGAGGGAGAGACAGAATCTTAAGCAAGACTCTACACTGAGGGCAGAGCTCCAGGCAGGGCTCGATCTCATGACCCTGAGAGATCATGGCCTGAGCAGAAATCAGGAGCTGGACCCTTAACTGACTGAGCCACTTGGGCACCCTGCACTCCAGTGTTTCCAACCTCCCATAATCACTGGATGGAAGGAATGGCACAGAGGCGTGTGAGTGTGCATGAATGTTTGCGGAGAGCAATTAGATTCTCTACTGCCTCCCAACAGATGACAAGGAAATGTCATCAGAGAGTTGGATTTGAGACTTTTGCCAGAAGTGGTGATGGATTTATACTTCTACATTGCCTCATCTCATTCTTCTTAGAATCATTAGCAGAATGTTCAAGACATCAGTTTGGGGTCTGGTAAATAAGCTATGGAGAAAGATGAGCTAATGCCTAGGGAAATTAAAGTCCTAATACCCTGTACATTACTAGTATGGCGCTATAACCTGTTTGAACCCATCTACATCAAACACAACCCACTCATTCTTTAGAAAATATTGCTCTCAACCTCAGTACTACTGACATTTTGGGCCAGATAATTCTTTTTTGGTGGGGGGCTGTTGTGTGAATTAAGTTTAGCAGCAGCCAAGCCTTTACCCACTAGGTGTCAGTAGCCCTCTCCAGTTACGACAACCAAAAACTGTCTCCTGATAATACCAAATGCCTGTTCCTGGGAGACAAAATCGGGCTTCTTCCCCATTAAGAACTATTACTCTAAACAAAAGAAGGTCAAACAAAAATCAGGGTAATTTGAAAGTTAGGCACAATAGCTCAAAAGAATTAACTGCTCATTATTAATTATTTAATGCAAAAGCTTTTTAAAAATGATTATTACTTGATGCTTATTATCGTAATTTTTGTGTTGAATAGTATATAAGAGTATGGGCATTACAAATAATTTTAATTACTTTTTCTATTTAGTACTAAAGTAAACTACTGAAAATAGTACTTTATATTATTTCTTTTTTACATTTTGTAATGTTGGCTAATAGTAATGATCACTAAATCACTAACCTGTCATTGGAATAAAAAATACTCTATACAATTGGTTTGTTACTTATCTTAAATCACACTCAAGTATAAAATGATTTTGCAGAATGAATAAATGCTGTTAAAAAGGGTTTCAGTGACACAATTAGAGCATGGAAGGAGTTCTGAGGGGCAGGTAAAGTTCTGGTTTTTGATATGGGTTTAGTTACGTAAAATAGTTGAGTGTGTGAAAATTCATCGTACTGAATACTTACAATGTGATCTTTCCTGTATATTTTCTACTTTTAACTATAAAACAATTTTTTAAAAGATTTTTATTTATTTATTTGACAGAGAGAGATCACAAGTAGACAGAGAGGCAGGCAGAGAGAGAGGGGGGAAGCAGGCTCCCTGCTGAGCAGAGAGCCTGATGCGGGACTCGATCCCAGGACCCTGAGATCATGACCTAAGCTGAAGGCAGAGGCTTAACCCACTGAGCCACCCAGGCGCCCCTAAAAAAAAATTTTTTTTTTAAAGATTTTATTTACTTGAGAGAGCGTGAGAGAGAGAATGAGAGAGCGAGAGCACAAGCAAGGGGAGAAAGAGAGGAAGAAGCAGACTCCTCACTGAGCTAGGAGCCTGATGCAGGGCTTGATTCTAGGACCCTGGGATCATGACCTGAGCCCAAGGTAGACAGACACTTAACCAACTGAGCCACCCAGGCACGTCTATAAAACATTTCTTTTTAAAGTTTTGTTATGTTGTATAGGCCAGAAAATGATTTTTAAAAATGCATGACTTTCACAGTGTCATTATATTTTTCTATGAGAAAAATATCTACAATTAAAATGTTTAACAATGCTAACATGTAACAATATTATTCCAAAACTGAACTTTTGTTCATTCATTCTTTTTTTTTTTTTTCAATAAACAGTAAACATCTACTGGGTATTAGATACTATGTTTAATGCTGGGACTCCAGAGATGAAAGACCTAGTTCCTGACACCAAAGTGCTTACTATTTATCGAAGTTGGGCACACAGATGTCTGGAGAACAAAACAGGACAGCTTACAGAGAAAATCTGAAATTTCACAATAAACATTATCATCTTCGACAAAGATCAATTTTATTCCAGGACAAATAAAATGTTTTTATATTAGATCAACTATACCCTTTCTATGGACTCAAATATAAGTTCTATGTATTTAAGGCTAAAATACTAGATGTGATACTGATGCAAAGTATCCGGCAGGTTGTATGTAAGTCCTATTACAACTTCCTCTGCCGCTGGATGTGTACAAGTTTGAGAAGCAGTGCAAATGTACTGCAGTAAGAACACCGACAAAAGTATACACAGGACATGACAGGAACATTTACAGAAGAAAGCTACCTGACCCGTCCCCTTTCCCTTCATATTTAAAGGGCAAAGTATGTGGATCTAAGTTTTCAGAGGATAAGGCTATTTTGTTTTTAGCTTATAAAATGTTTATTCACTCTGCAGCATTTTTTTAAAAGATTTTATTTATTTATTTATTAGAGAGATGGAGAGAGACCACAAGTAGGCAGAGCAGCAGGCAGAGGAAGAGGAAGAAGCAGGCTCTCCGCTAAGCAGGGAGCCCGATGCAGAGCTCGATCCCAGGACCCTGCGATCATGACCCAAGCGGAAGGCAGCCGCTCAACCGACTGAGCCACCCAGGTGCCCCCACTCTGCAGCACTTTAAGGAAATTAAGAAATATCCATTAACATGGCTATTACTTAACACTGTACTGAGGGTGGTGGAGGAACACAAGTGAAGAAGATAAAGAAA